GTTTCTAATTTTATTTATGCTGTGATATGGTGGTTTTGCCACTTACACTCTTATTTATTTATAATAATCTTGATGTACAATTTGAAATACTTCGTTTGTGAAGTTGGTGAAAAGAACCTTCATGACCTGCAGGCCCTGGGCATAGGCGACCCGCTTAGGCCTTCAATTTGGAAGGGCTTCAAAATTTTAAATTTTCTTATATATGTTATATTATAATTATTTTTTAATATTTTTACAAATATAATTAATATAGAAATTTAATACCGGACGTCAAAATTTATATCCTAAAATAATTTTTTATTTTTTCTCTTTTCTTTCTCCTCCTCATTCATGTTTTTAAATTAAACTCTAACCAATACAGAAATATTGGGCCACAAAAATTTATTTCCTTAAATGAAATTTTTTAATTTTTTTTTTATTATTATTATTATTTTTTATCTATCTATCTCAGCTTCCTCTCTCTCCTCCTCATACATAATTTTAATATTGATCTCAAATATTTATATATATATTTTTCTCTTTCTCTCATTCTGCATTTTTTACAATGTACAACACTATTTTTCTTTTTTCCATGTTCTTTTTCTTGCTTTCATCAAACTTTTCTTTTTTTCCATGTTCTTTTTCTTGCTTTTATCTTTTATTTATTTATTTACTTTCTTATTCATCACATACTTTTTCTCTCCTCTCTGAATTCTCTCAACAAGTAGTCTCCCTCCTCTCTCATTATAACTTTATAATGAGAATTTTAACCAATATAGAAATATTGGGCCCCAAAAATTTATATCTTTAAATAATTTTTTATTTTTTATCTATCTCTTCCTCTCTCTCTTCTCCTTATATAGAATTTTAATATTGATCTCAAATTATTTATATTCTTAACTAACTTTTTTTTCTCGTCATTTTTTACGACGACACTAATTTTTTCTTTTTTTCATGTTCTTTTTCTTGCTTTTACCAAAATTTTCTTTTTTCCATGTTTTTTTTCTTGCTGTTATCTTTTATTTATTTATTTTCTTATTCATCACATACTTTCTCTCCTCTATGAACTCTCTCAACAAGTCGTCTCCCTCCTCTCTCATTATAAATTTATAGTTCTCTTTCTCCTCCACTTCATTATTCTCGATTTGAACCCATTTTTATCCTATTGAAGAATTTTAGGAGCATTGGATTGGGGTTTTCTAAATCAGTTTTTATTGTTCTTTTTCTTTAATTATTTTTACATTTTATTAACTTTTGTTAATATAAATTTATGTATATATACAGTGACGGATCCAGAAAATTTTGTGAGGGGGGAGGACTTTTAATTTATGGGGCCAAACTTATATAATTGGTCTATTTTTATAATTTTAATTAGATTTTTTCATAAATTTTCAAAAATGTAAACTATAAAATGTATAAAAAAAAAAAATTAGTGGGGCCAAATTATAATTTTAGTGGGGGAATTTGCATAAATTCTAAAAAATTTAAAGTATAAAATGCAAAAAAAAAAAAATGGAATCTAGTGGGGACAAATTATAATTTTAGTGAGGGGCATCTTCATAAATTCTAAAAAAAATTAGGTATAAAATGAAAATATAAAAAATCTGATCCGACCCCACTGGTCCCACTTTGGGTCCGTGCCTGTATATATATATATATATATATATATATATATATCATATATTTGTATATTTTAACCAAACTTAAATACAATAATCTAATTAGTAATTTTTAATTTCACAAAAGTAAGAATGATGATTTTTAAATAAATATTATCTAATATTAATATATTATTAAAAGGTCACTTTTTATATATATCTAAGGCCCCAAATTATTAAGGGAGGCTCATCGTTTATTTTAAGCATTTTTATAATTTTGTTTTTTCGCCTAAGACCCCAAATTATTTTGAGCCGCCCTTGGTGCTTATCGTTCATTTTAATAAAAAAATTCGTCTAAGGTGCCAAATTATTTCAAGCTGCTCTTGGTGCTTATCGTCCATTTTAATAAAAATTTCGCACTCCTATAAGTTTTTGGTGCCAATGAAACCTTATATATAAAGACCTCGTATTTAAAAATTTGCCTAAGCTCTCTCAAAATTTTGAAAATATCGGGGCCAGCCTTGAGTGACCAAAACTAATGTTTGAGTGATGAAGGAGTATGGGGTGACTGAGACTTGGACCAAATTTACTATCGAGTTACCGGGTATGTCACATGGTTGAACCCCATTATTTTTTCTCTGATGGATGGAGTAGCTCTGCTCGAAATGGATGGACGGAAATTGGTTGCATACAACTCCAAGGAAGAGACGTCAAGGGATACAATGGTGCATGGGATTCCATCTACCTTTCTAGCAAAAGCCACCTATGTGAAGAGTCTTGTCTCACCCCATTACAAATGTGGTATTTAAGAGAGGAGATAGTGACACTGAACTTAAAGAGAGATCGATAATTTATTTTATTTTTTCTTTTGGTGAACCATTTTCATATATCACATATGCCATCATATCATAGAACTTTTCTAGCAATTGCATGATAATTTAGTTCTCGTTGATTCTTAATTGCTTCAGTTTCTAGTTTAATGTTGAATTAAAAGTATTGTTTTAGACTTATATTGAGTTCGGGTACAAAATCATTAAACTTAGATTGTTGCTTTAGTTGTATACATGTGGTTCTGTGAGTCCACTGTTGGAGTGGTCTTCTCTTCATGTTTGCATTAGACTGAAATTCAATTTTCAATTGACAAGTACTTTTAGTCTTTTTCAAGTCCAATTTTGACTGGCCAATTTTTAAGTCTGAAAATTATTTTATAAAAATTCAATTATAAAAAGGTATGTTCTTCTCTTTTTATAGTTATCTAAAATTAATATTTTATAGTGACAAATCAAATAGGCCCTTATTATTTTCCTCATTGACGAAATGTTACTGGCATTGATATTCTTGAGGTATCAATAATTTTTTAAAAATTTAAGTACACTAGCCTTGCAAAATAACTGGATAATGGATTTTGTTTCAACGCTTTTAAGAGTGTTCCTGAGATATAAAAGCATTAATAGAAATATCATGTCAATTAACATGCATAAACTAAGGCAGGCAAATAAAAAAAGGAATAAAATAAAAAGTTTAGGAGGTGGTCGGATGACTTGTGCTCTGCTTAGTTGAGTTATGAATAATTTGATTAGGTCTGTAAACAAAAAAAATTCTAAAGATGGACCACTAACTGTCGGCTGATTTAATAGTAATCGGCCATCTGTTTGGTTAGATGAGTAAATTGTTCGATCACATGTAGAACTATGATGATCAGTTACCAAACAAGAAAATATTGAATGTGTCAAAGTCTTCTAGCTTAGTTGGTAAGATGTCTTTCGTTGGCTCTTGAAGCGCATGGGTTCGAGTCTTGGCACCAACTAATCCCTAACATTTACCCTTCAAAAAAAAAAAAAAAAAATTGAATGTATATGTACCCAAAAAGACTATGGCACGAAAAATCGGAGTACGGGATCCACACAGGACCTCCCAGCTCGAAAATCGGAAAAATGTCTAAATAATCTGAAAGTTCTAAATTAAAAAAAATGCTCGAATCAACTCTCGGGACTCATATGGTACACCCCACCGTGTCCAGCATGCAAAACGAGGCTATGAATAATTAAATTCAGAAAAATTGAAAAATACTCGAAAATGAAAAAAATACTTGCAGTTAGGCCAAATCTCAGAAGAGATTATTGTAGTTTACCCTATATGTTATATATATGAGTAATTATAATTGTACCGATTTGTTGCAGTGAATTACCTAACCGAATGTTTCTGATTGGTTATTTATACACAATACATGTAAGTGGAGGACCCACTCATTTATTTATCCCATTTGTTGTAGTGAATTGCCCGACCTATTTCTTTTAATTAGTCCATTTATGCATAAATAAAGAAGTGGGGCCCTCCACCTACATGTATTGTACATAAATAACTAATCATAAATATTCGATTAGGTAATTCACTGTAACAAACCGATGCAATTATCATTATTCTATATATATAGATACGCGATGTAGGGGTGAACAAATAATCCGTCAATCCCATTTGTTGTAGTGAATTGCCCAACCTATTTCTTTTAATTAGTCCATTTATACATAAATAAAGAAGTGGGGCCCTCCACCTACATGTATTGTACATAAATAACTAATCATAAATATTCGATTAGGTAATTCACTGTAACAAATCGATGCAATTATCATTACTCTATATATATAGATACGCGATGTAGGGGTGAACAAATAATCCGTCAATCCGGTCTAAACTAATCCGATCCGTGTGGTTTGGTTCGGTTTTCATATCTCATGATTCGGTGATGGTTTGAAAAATTTGCAATCCGGTGTTCATGGTTCGGTTAACGGATTGGCCCCTGAAAAAACCGATCCGAACCGTTAACCGATCTGAATCAATCCGTTGCCGATCCGAACCGAACTGTTAGTCAATCTGAACCGAACCGTGAATAATATATTATCTATATATATATATATATATATATATATATATATATATATATATATATATCCAATATTGAATATACAGTATACTTATTGCCTTTTTTCTTCTTCTTTTTTTTTTTTTTTAATTCATTGTTCTAACCCTAGCTCCCAAATAACTCACTACTCTGATCTGGCATCTCATTTCATTAGCCGCGCCTCTCTCGCATCTTCTCTCCACCCTCTTCTCTCTTCACCCTCTTCTCTAGACGTTATCTTTGCCTCTGTGACAGTCTTAACTCTTCACTCTTCACCTCTGTTTTTGTTCATTCTTTGCCTCCCAATCTCTCGCCTCTCAATCCATCACCTCTCAATCTATTGTTCACCATATTTGAAGCAACGGCGACCTCTGCATATCGAAGCAACGACGACCTCTTTAAGTAGATCTACCTCTTTTATGGTGAGTTCACAAAATTTTTGCATGGATCTTCTTATTCTTCTCTTCTCTGAACATTTTTTGTAAATAACGTCAATATTTTCTGTTAATCACCATAACACAGTGATGGATCTTCTTATTCTGGAAGACGCCACCGCCGACGGCCATCCCGTGGCTGAACTGTAACTGTGTGGCTTCGGGCTCCACTGTGTACGCCATCACGGAGGGTTCCATTGCCCTAACCCTTCCCAAGATGTAAAGTTAAAGTTTTTCATCAGAAAATAAACCCATATGAAACTCTATCTCGGATTGAGGAGGTGTTTTGCTTGTTCTGAAATTTTGAATCTTCGTGTTTTTTTTCTTTTAGGGTTTCCTTACTACCATGGACTCTTCTTTTTCCTTATAAATATCATTGATTTTGTATTCATATTTAAAAAAAAAAAAAAATTGAACAAGATTGACAAAGCCCAATCAGCCGAATCCGCAGAAACCGATCTGATCCGATCCGTTACTTCACGGATCGGTTTGGTTCGGATTGAAGGCCATCACGGATCGATTTGGTTTCAATTTTTGCCAATCCGTGGAGACCGGTTCGGCTTGATCTTTATCCCCAAACCGAATCAATTCGAGCCGTGATTAGGCCTAACGCGATGGAAGAAGGAGGAGAGAGAATAATAGTCAATAAACGGATAAATAATTTCAAAAAATAAATTTTAATGAATCATAAATATAGAAGCATTGTATTAACTATAGGTACTTTTTTAACCAATATTAACAGTCCTCTATTATATTATATAAATATTTTGATGTATCCATACAGCATATGTGTCCTGTTTATTTATTAGCATTTTATTTTTTTTATGTTCGTATCCTGGTATGCTACTTGTGTACAACTCCGTAATTATTTTTCGTCTGAAATTACCCCAAAGCAAAACTGCAATTTTTAATTTGGGATTTTTTTTTTTTTTTTTTTTTCCTATTTGAATTGGGTTTAAATTTATAAAACAACCTTAGGCACTACCTATTTATTTTTCGCGGATTCTCCTTGAAGGCTGCAATGTCGAACGGTGCAAACATTCCAGGCGATATCATCTTTGATATCTCTCTGCAGATTCAAGTGCTTATCAAGCGGATGGCTTACTCTAATCTCAGACCGTCGTTTCGTAGAAACACATCTCAATCTAAACAACAAACGCGAGTGTCTCATTCTCATATCACGCCCTGTACGCGAGTGTCTCACTCTCATATCACGCTCTGCTTTCTCCGTCGACTGCACTGAATCATCCAATAACGATGTTGTGACGGCAACGAAACTCGATTTCCCATTGATTTGTTCCTGCGAAATGGATATTATTGGTTCTTGCAATGGCTTGATTTTACTTGCCAGTGGACAACAAACTATTATGTTTTTATGGAACCCATCGACTAGAGAGGTCGAGCAATTACCCAATTCCCTTACGTGTCCCTACCAGTACCGGGCCAAACCCAATACCATTTCTTCATGCAGAATGTATGGACTTGGTTACGATTCATCCATAGATGATTACAAAGTGGTGGAAATTATACATTCTGATATACTTACATGTTTGTATGAATATACGCTGAGAACCGGTAGTTGGCGTTTGAGAAGGAGTTGGGTTTCTGATTTCCTCTATGTTATTAGTCGGCCGTCGGGCGTTCTTCTAAATGGTTCTGTACATTGGTTAGCTTATAAATATTCGAATGATGGGAGAGATTCGAATCTTTATGAGGTGATTGGTGCTTTTGATCTAACAGACAATGAATTCCGGGATATATATGTACCTTCCTCAGTACCTTCCTCTCTAGCTTTCTCTCCTCACGCCGTCTGGATTTCAAATGATTTGGGGGTTCTTGGAGGGTGTCTCACTGTGCTTGTATGTCCTAATTTTACGAGAACTGATGTTTGTGTGATGAAGGAGTATGGGGTGACTGAGAGTTGGACCAAATGTAGGGTCGAGTTGCAGTGTTTAAGGATAAATGGTCGAATTCGAAACCCCTTTATGCTTTCTCTGGGGATGGGGTAGTTCTGCTGCGAAAGGATGGACAGAAATTGGCTGCATACAATTCTGAGGAAAACACATCAAGGGATATAATGGTGGTTGGCATTCCATCTAGAGTTAGAGAAAAGGCGACGCATAGCTTTACTTTTGGAGAAAAGTTCGCCGGTTGTTTCCTTTTTCCGTAGGGGCGTGGATGAAAGGATTCTTCAGAAACATTCTTATTTCTTGGGGTGTTTTTCATAAATATCTTTTGAAGATATTTATTTGAGGAGCTTTTAAGAAAATATCTTTTGAAAGATATTTTCATTCTAGGTAATTTTGCAGTTATCACTTTTTGTAAGGGCATTGTGCAATTAACGAAAGTTATTACAAAATGCCTCGTTTTGAATCCGGATCCTTGTATGGGATTCATTTTCACTTTTCATCGAGTCGCGTACTCTTAGAATCGTCTTCTGGTCATTTTTCCCAGTTTTAAGGTTTTTGACCTTAGTTGCTATTGAACTTGTTCGGGGCATATCTTTCTGTTCGGGACTCGGTTTTCGACGCTGTTTCTTCTGTTATTCATTTTTTCTCATTTCGGTTCTTTTTTGTTCACGGTGTTTTACCGTTTGAGCGCATCTACGCAAATTTCACTTTTCCGGACTCGGTGGGACCCGTTCGGGACACTTTTAGGCTTCGTTTGGATTGAGGAATTTAAAGGGATTTGGAGAGAAAAGAAAGGGAAGGATAGTGATTAGGGTGTTTGGATGGAAAGAATAAGAGAGAAAAGAAAGGATTGGGAGGGATAGTTCATTTAGAATCCGTCCAAATTTGACAAGATTTTGAGGGATTTGGAGAGAAATGGAACAAATTACAGAAGGGGCTAGAGAGTTAAGAGACAATAGGCTGAAGCTTTGCGAACGACGACCGAACTAGAACAGCGAGTGATGGAAACTGATAGATATGGGTTTTGATTTTTTTAACAATCTGAAATGATATGTGGATATGGGTTTTGATTTTCACAGTTGCACAGAAAAAGAGAGGGAGGCTGAGAACGAGATGGAGGCTATTGGGAAGGTTGGTATATATATATATATATATGTAGTTTGCAGTTGCAAAGAGAGAGAGAGAGAGTTGCAAAACAAGAATTACAGACCTTGATTAGTTGATTTTGATTTTTGGAACAATCTGAAATGATATGCCGATATGGGTTTTAATCTTCTGATTCTTGTAGATTTTGTAGTTTGAAGTTGGAGAAAGAGAGAGAGGATATGTGAGAATGAGAATAGAGAGATGGAGGCGATTGGGAATTCTAGAGAGAGAACGGTGAATGAGAATACGGAGGCTGAAATGATTTTGCCATACTTATTAACCCTACCAAAAAAGGTAATATGATAATTTTATTATTATCATTTTTCTTCTTTTCTCTCCTTTGTGTTATCCAAATAACAATATTGCCAATTCCTTTCTTTTATCTCTTATCTATCCAAATATGAATATAAATTATAGTTATCCCTTCCTTTTCTTTCCTTTCTTTTCTCTCATAATCCTTTCCTTTCTTTTCTCTCATGTATATCTAAACGAAGCCTTAGGGTTTTTCTATAAATAGACAGTGAAATAAGAAAAAGTCAACATTTTCTACTTCTTCCTCCCTCCTTAGCCAGCCATCCATGGCAGCCCTTGGGCGCCACCCTTCTATTTTCTTTTCCAGCCACTTCCCTCTTGTATTTTGCTGTGATGCCTTAGCATTTATTGTTGGCCTTGGCGAGGCGGTCCTTTCCCCTCTATTAGAAGCCAGTTTAGACCATTTTTGAGTTCGGGTTTTGATTTTGGTGGTACCTCAAGGGTTATTATTGCTTCCCTCGTTGTCCCCGACATAACCTAGGAGTGTCGTCAGATTCGGAGAGGTTTCCTGTCGGTTGGATTTGAGATTTCATCTCAAATGGAGGCAGGGGATGTTATAGGTTTATATTTTTGTTGTCTTGAATGTTTTTCAAACTTATACAACTTGTATGCATGCTTTTCTTCATAATCTAGAATTTAATTTAATTATTCTCTTTGTATAAGATTTAATTCACATGGTTGTATGTGTAACGGAATTAAATTGTAGCATACTATTAAATTAGACCTTGATATGTTTGTTAACATATATTAAATTGAGAACATTTGAATAAGTATTGAAACTTTTATTTAATTATTTTCTTGTATGAAAATTTAATTCACATGGATGTATTTAGCATGGAATTGACTTGTAATGTGATATTAAATTAGGTCTTGGTATGATCCTCAACATATATAAATTTGAATATATTTTTAGTTGTTTCAAAATTTAGAGAAAATTAATTAATTAGATTAATTAATTTTATTTTAAGTGTTCTATTCATTTAAGTGAATTTTTATCTTGATATTGTTGATGGCCTCGGCATATTCTTTAATATAAATTAAATTAAAAATATTCAGATAAGTTTTGAAATCTAGAGATTTTAATTAAATGAATTAATTAAAATCTATTTAATGGTTCTTTTAATATAATCAAATATTTGAGTAGATAAAACTTGTGTAAAGAAGTTATTTAATTTAGTAGATTACTAAATTCTTGTGATTTCATAGTATTATGAATATGTTGTGCATTATTGGAAGTTAAATTGCTAACTTGTTACTATGTAGTAGTAATATGAGATTCTTGTGAATTTGATAGTATTAGCCTTGTAAATTTCTTGCTACAATGTCGTAGAATTAGTGTTTAAAGTTTACCATGGAAGCATGATTTAAATTTTTAAGTAGATGATATTGTATTGTATATTATATTATAGTAAAGACTTGACATAATATATGCCATTTTAGAATTGAAACCTTAAGGCATGTGTTGCCCAGGTATAAACTCTAGGGGGGGGGGGGTGGTGAATAGAGTCTAAGCAAATTAAGGTCAATTTTTCAATATTGATTTATCAACTAGAGTTAAACTTAACTTCTTTGACAAATATTGAATGATGCAAACTGAATATAAGCTTTAATTCTTATTTATGAAAAGGCATATTAAGACATACATGAAGCAATAAATATGAGAGATAAAGATAGAAGTTGCAAATATGTGCTCAACGATTTTAGCGAGGTTCGGAAACTCCTACTCCTCGGCTCAAGACCCCTCTTGAGACTTCCCAATTCACTATGGCTTCTCCTTGCGGGTGGAGAGCAAACCTTTTACAAGAAGCACCTTCTAGCTTTTAAGTGCTAAGAGATACACCTTCTCTAAGTCTTCCTTGAGCCCCACCAGCTCTTACAAGTCTTTGAAATATATAGATGAAGTACAAGATGATCTCTCTCTTAGATCTAAAGTACAAGATTTAGCTTACTCTAGAGTATGTATGAATAACTTGAAGCTCAATACTCTTTTGATGAAATGAAGTGTGTGTTTATGATAAAGGCTTTATGATTGCAAGGATATCTTTCACAATTAATGCAATTAGCTTTTATGAAGTTATTCAGTCATTATATAGACTTTCAGATGATGTCTAATACTTTTCTAGCTGTTGGACACACATCCCAAGACAGAAATGCCCGTTTGAATTTTGAAATGCGCAATTTCGGTCGACCGAAATGAAACTCCCTTGAGTTTCGGTCGTCCGAAATGGTTTTCTGGTTGGACACCCTTCTCAGTATCTTAGCTTCGGTAGACCAAAGAGGAACCCATGTTTATTTCGGTCGTCCGAAATAGTTTCAGGATTGAACTTCACCCTCTCGGTATTTCTGTTTCGGTAGACCGAAGTGAACTCTCAGTTATTTCAGTCGACCGAAATAATTATTAGTTGGATCTGTATATTCATTTCGGTAGTGAACTCTCAGTTATTTCGATCGACTAAAATAATTATTAGTTGGATTTGTATATTCATTTCGGTCAACCGAAATGAAATGATGATTTATTTCGGTAGACTGAAATAACTTGAAGCTTTGATCCTAACTCTTGGTTCATTTCGGTAGACTGATACACTAGTGCTTCCCATTTCGGTAGACCGAAATGGACTCATATTTTCAAATAAGGATATGCTTAAGTCCTTTGTTCCTTAGTCACGGTAATTGAGATGATATGCATAATGTTGGAGAGTTTGAGCTTCAAGATGTTCATATACACTTTAAAAAAGCTTCTTAAGAAACTCACCAACCTAGCTAACCCCATTTTGATGTCTTGTGATGACTTGACTTTGACTTTTGATTGCTTAGTCCTTTGCTCATGCTTTAGTGTTGCTTCTTCAGTTTTGTCCTTGTATTATAGTGCTTGTTTTGATGAATTCTTTGCTTTGTAATTTCACTCAAGAAGACATTAGTAATCATAGAACATCATTAATGAATTATGATCTTTAAAAACCTTTGATTCAAGGTCAAAAATCTCCCCCTTTTTGATGATGACAATTCATTGATGTGTTCGTCAAATAAGAATAAGTATGTAAGTGATTCTCCCCCTATCAATGTGCATAGTCTTGATAAATAAGAGATTTACAAATCTCCCCCTTTCCTTGTGCAATCATTTAACTATCATTAGAGTTGAAAGCATAACATATTTAAGGCATACAAACAAATCATGAAAGAATTGAAAGCATGAAAGCATACAGATTTTAATTGCAAAAAACATGTATTTTCATTGATTCACGAATTTAAGGTTAAGATACATCATCTATTCCTCAATGACCACTATAACCAATGTTTCAATTACAACTACAATCAGCATTACCATCCACAACCTACATTAGCAACTCTATCAAATTTTTCAACAGTCAATATTCTATATTCCAGCACAAAAGTCACAGCAACATCAACCACCAACAACATCAATTCTCCCCCTTTGGCATTTATAAAAAAGATAGGGGGGGTATGAGATCAAAAGTGAGGAAGTCCCGTGACACGGAGATCGGCAAAGTCTTGCTTCACGAGATCGACTTCATTGGTTAGTTCCTCTAGTCGAAGGCGCAGGTCGAGAATATGTTCCTTGTTCTCTTTGCCAAGGGAAATTTGTTCTTTAGAGAGAGCAAGACTATCAAGTAAAAGCTTAC